AGTATAAATATATTTCTATAGTATATATATTTCTATAGTATATATATATATATTATATATATATTATATATATATATATATTTATATATATATATTATATATATATATTTCTATAGTATAATATATATATATTTCTATAGTATATATATATGTATATATATTTCTATAGTATATATATATATATATATATATATATATATATATACATATTATTTATTTATTAGAATGGTAAAAGTGCTATAAAGTACAGTGGAAAGAGAGTTGGGTGTATGATGATCATTTATTTGATTGTGATTCACTAGTTCGTCAGTTTTGGAGTAAAACAAGTTAATGTAAATAATTTTGTTTTATATATATATATATATATATATATATATATATATATATATATATATATATATATATATATATATATATATATATATATATATATCTATATATATATATATATATATATATATATATATATATATATATATATATATATGTACATACATACATACATATACATAAATATACATAAATAAATATATATATATATATATATATATATATATATATATATATGCATAAATAAATAAATATATACACAACCCTAGGAATTAGGAGAAGTGAGGTTGGCAATAATTTGCCGACCTCATTCTTTTAGAGGTCGGCATCAGGTTGACAAAAATTGTTTGATACAAAGGTCTTACTGTAAAACATAGAAACGAGGTTGGCAATTTTTTGCCAACCTTTCATGGCAGTATTGCTGAATACTGACCCTAATTCCAAGGGTTGTATGCATATGATTATCTTTATGTACTAAGTTATTACTTTAGCTATTAATAAGCTTGGTAGCAATGAAATCACAATTGACTAGCATCTTTTTTTAAACATATAAAAATAAAAAGTTAAAATATCTAAAGAAAAAAAAAGTAAAAACAAAGAAAAAGTAAGGAAGTAAAAAAAAAAAGTTCGGAAGTAAAAGTATTATGAAAGAGAAAATGTTTTAAAAAAAAGGAGTCTGATAAAATAAAAGAAGTTAAAATCTTTTTAACTATTATACTTGCTTAAAAAAAAAAAATTACAAAATTTGGTTTTCAATTTTGAATAGCTGTTTAATTTTCTAATTACTGTAATTATTTTTAATATGATAAGATCAATAGATAATACATTATTTTATTGTCATGAACCAAATGGAAATTCATCTTTAAAATATTTGAAGATAAAGTTGTCTAGTACCTTAAAAAATATGCATTGATTGTTTGGAATTATTATGGAGAATTAATATCTAAAAATGTTCGAAATCCAGATAAAATTTATTACAAACCATGTTTGGAAATTAAAAAAGTCAAATTAGATAATAAAAAACTTTTCAATTAGTGGAAAGTTTATTAAAACATTCAGTGTCTGGTTAAAACATGAAAAATCATTTATTTCTAGTACACTAAATTATTATTAATAAAATCTCGTTGAAGAAAAAAAAATTAGAAAATTGGTAAAGCGCAAGTGGGTCTGCCTCATAAATAAAATTTGATATTACTTGTGACATTGCAACTTTTGTTTTGTACTAATTTGTTGGTAAATCTTGTGGAAAGAACCAATTTTGTAAAAACTTTTGAAAAAAACTTTGGTAGAATCACTCCATCACATTTTTCTTTGACATGCAGAGTTTTGATTCAGATAAGTTCAAATCAGTGAAGAGCAGTGTAAAGGATTTTTTGAAATATTCTAATGCTGCCCAATGATTGCTGGAAAAAATGTTTATTGGTGCTCAGTAATAACAAGTAATAGAAAAATATTTACTTTAACTTGTATGCCACTGTAAAAAACTGCAGAAAATATAGCAAACTTTATGAAGGATGTTATTAAACATATGTTTGGGAAACATTATGAAGATTTTTTTTTGTACAATGTTCATTATGGCGCATGCAATTATGACTTTCATGCAGTAATGTTCATGGCGGTGCATGAAATCATGATTTCTAGACTGTCTAGTTGTAAAAAATCCAAACATTGCTTAGCTCATGTGCCAATTTTACTTCTGGTTACTCAACAGTCTAAAGTTTTAAAATTGTTCAAAGTTGAAATAATGTAACATGCTGGAGCTTCAAATCAGCTTTTCTTATTAACAAATTTTTGTGTACAAATGATGATGTGGATTGTTATAATAAATTACAAAGAATTGCAGTAGTGAAATGTCCTGTTAACTTTGATGAGCAATTTCCAATTGAACTAATATCAAATGAGAATCAAGCAAGTCCAATTGACTAAATGCTAGCCCATATGACCTATTATTACAGATAGTAAAGATGAATGTAAAGAAAATGATGATTTGTTTACAGGAAACTTAAGATACAAATCTAAACAACATAAGTCTAAACTCCAAGTATGTAGCCAATAAAACAGCAGTTGTATTATGATCAAAAGATATTTAAAAAAAAATGCCAGTAGAAAACTTTTTCTCAATGAATTTGATCTATAATTTTTATGTTAACTTGTGAAGTTCTTAAAAACC